TCCGCTTTAACTACCCTATAGACTCTATAGTAATTTATATCAACTTTAGTTAATCTTTATCTAAATTTATAAAGTTAAGGCTAGTAGTACTACTACTATAGCTCCTAGAGATACTATATCTATATAGAATATAGTAAGTAAGAAAGTAGCTATATTAGAATCTCTCTATCTTCTAATATTATTTTATAAGATAATCTTAGTCTATCTTTCTATATATAATCTATACTTTAATATAAGAAATACTAATTAGACTATAGCTAATTATATAGGGTTTATTACTAAATATTAGAAGAAATTAAATACTAAGGCTAACTTATCTCTAACTTACCTCTCTAGATACTCTAATAATCTTCTATAACTCTAGATCAGTAATACTAGTTATAACCTTTAGTAGAGTGCTATTTAAGTCTTTTTCTTAGAGATTACTATAGAATATTAATATAATATAGCTCTAGATAGGGTTAGTTTAACTTCTACTATTATAGCTATAGTTACTAATATTAAAGTACTTATAGATTAATACTTACTTCTATAGTAGTCTTTTTTTTTTTATCTTATCTATCCTCCTCTTTTATAGCTATATATCCTTACTTAATAGGAATTAGATAGGGTAGTTTTCTCTTTCTTTTCTTTATTAATTTAAGTATAGTTTAAAAAGGTTCTAGTAACTTTTTATTATTATTAGAAGATAGTTTTTTAGGTTTACTTCTTTCTAAATAAAGATATTATATCCTTTATATTTTTTAGATACTCTATAGATTTCTATTAATTATATTCTAAGAGCTATCTAGTCTATTTAATATAGTAATATAAAATTCTATTAAATATTCTTTTATCTTAAATCTCTTTAATCTCCTATTCCTCTTTATCTTTAAGTTTAGATATTAGTATTAGTAAATTATCTTTATTTTAGCTATTCTATAACTTAAGAAAAGAGATAGAGAAAATATTATATAATCTTAAGTACTTCTCTAATAGTATAATACAGTATACCTATATATTAATCTTTATAAGAATATAAAAGAATCTAATTCATTAAGGAAATAACTTCTTTTCTTTAGCTTTAAAGTAGATATTCTTTATTAAAAGAGATACAAAAGTTCCGACATTAAAGTCTTTTAATTTATAGTTTTTGTTATACAACTTCTATTACATTTCTTATATAATTTGAAACTTCTTTAAAGTCTCTTCTTAGATATTTTAAAGGTAAGTTACCCATTCTTTAGCACTTAGGACTTCCTTCTTAAGTACTTTCTCTAGAGCTCAGACTTAGAAGTTAGAATTATATCCTAGTAGTATATAGAAGAGGGTTTTATTAGTAGATATATTAACAGTATTATTATATATAAATTAAGCTATTTTAAGAAGTTAAACTTAATTTAATTATTCTCTATTAATAAAATACCTAAAGTAATTTTCTAGAACTTAGTTAAATCTTTCTATCTAACTATCAGTTTAAGAGTAGAATACTATAGAGAATTATAGTTTAATTTTTAAGTAGTAGTAGAGTTATAACTAAAATCTACTTATAAAGATAGGATCTTAATTAGATACAATTCCTTCTAAATTTCTATATTTAAGTTTAATTTAATTAAAGAAGAGTTTAGTAAGATCTTCTATAGATATTATTATCGATATAGAAAAAAATCAAAAGTATTTTATAAGTCAACAGATAATTACTAAAATTATATTACATTCTTATCCTTTAAAGATTATAATTAGAAGTCCTATTATAAAGTCTATACTTAACTCTATAAATAGTTGATAGGGAATTAGAAAGAGTTAAAGTTTACTATAAGATCAATACCTTAGAGTTTTAACTCCTTAGTATATCAGATACATTTTAATATATTCTCATATATCCCTAAGTAGATATTCCTAGTAGAACTTCCTCTTAATTAGTTCTTCTGTATAGTTTCTTCTAAAATAATCTATAAGTTATTTATTATAATAGAGTTTAATCAACTTTTATCTTAGATTCCCTATAACAGAGATATATAAATATCCTTTATAGTATAAGAGTTTCTTAGAGTTAATACTCTAATACTTTCCTTATAGAATATCTTCTAGAATTATATTAATTTTCTTCTAGACTATCTTATCCTTATCTTAGAGTTCTTTAATTAATCTTTTTAGTTCTCTTAGAGATTTATCTATAAATAAATCTTTATTTACAGCTATAGTAAATACTATTTAAAAAAGTATAAATTAAGAGTAATTTAAAACCTTATAATATATTATATTATAGTCCTAATTTAGAAGAAACTTAGTTATATTATAGCCTTAACTTAGGAAAACTTTTTTATTATCTTTTAGATCTAAATAATTAACTTTACTAGACTTATTTATAGTCTTCTCTAGATCTTTCTAATCTATAGAGATAGTAGTATCATTTTAAACCTAGTTTAGCTCTAACTCCAGATCACTAACTAAACTACTTATAGTTAGAGAGAGAGATTATAATAGACTTCTATAGACTAATATAGTTATACTTATTAATTCCTACTTCTCTCTACTTTTCTCTCTAGATAGTCTTATACTAACAGTAAACCACTATACTTTTATAAACAATTTAGTTATAATCCTCTTATAAATTAACTCTAATATCTTCTCTATAGATAGAGCTTTCTCTTTCCCTAGAGTATAAAATAATCTATCTATAGGATTTATCTTATCTAAATAGTAATATATTATAAAATTAAAAGGAGTAAGGAAGAGATACTAATATACTTATCTTCTATTAATCTTTAGTTAATTTATAAAGAGTTTTAAATTATAGTAATTAGTCAGAATCTTAACCTAATACTAGCTCTCTTTAAGGTATTAATACTAATATTTAAATAAATAAATAATTATAAATAGTTTTTGATCTAGTATTATATAGTTTTATTCTATAGGTAAGAATTTCTTAGACTAAAATACAATAGAGTACTATATTCTCTAGTTATCTAGTTATAAGAGAATTCTAGCTATTCTAAAATCTAATATATTAATTTTAAGTTAGATAGATCCTTTTAGATTAAAGTAACAGAGAAGAGATACTATTAAGAAGGTATTAAGAAAGTCTTAAAATACCTTTAATTCTCTATTATTTAGCTTAATACTTCCTAGTTTCCTTCTATCTTTATTTTCTTTAAGAAACTCTATAAATAGTAATACAATCAATAAGTATTTTTTAATAAATCTCCGATAGAAGTTATAGAATCTAAAAAAGATCTAAATATCTCTATAGAATATTAGCTGTTCCTATTCTTAAATAGCTCAAACTTATTCTAGGTCTATTAAGATTCTATTTTAACCAATAACAAAACTAAGAAACTTAACTTAAGACTTATAGAAACTATATTTTAATACTTTAATAAATAGTTATATCTTCTATAGTCTTTTAAATACAAAACTTAAATATTCTATATATTCTTTATATATCTTTAAGAAGATAAGAATATTATTAAGGTATATAATATAAATAGTATCGAGAAGACTATAGAGTATAGTATAGATATAACTTTAGAACGTTATAGGTATATTAGTAAGGCTAAAGGGTATAACTATATATTTAAAATAGCTATATCTTATATAGAATACTATTTTCTATTCTTCTCCTTCTTAAATACAAATCTAATAATATATATCTTATATATCAATCTTACTAAGGATTTTAGTACTAGAAAGATAGTTAAGAATCTCTAAGATAAGGAATAGAGAGTACTAATTTTTAATAGAGACTTTATTTAACTCTTAATAGTTAATATAGAGACGTAGATCTCTATCCTTTTTTGGTATAAATAAGATAGGAGTACCTATAGGGCTTTTAGAAGGTTAGATTTAACTATTTACTAGATTTTTATTAAGATACTTCTATAACTCTATAAGTTCTGTTTATAAGAGAGGGTAGATTAGGCTATATAGAGATAATATATTTTCTTTAAGTTTAATTAAGTAATTAGTCTTCTTTTGTAGTAGTATAATCTTAAAATTTTAAATTTTAAATATATCCTAAAATACTATTAATTTGGAGAGGATTTACTTTTGATCCTTAGCCAATTTCTCTTTATCTTCTAGGGAAAACTAAACTTCTTTAGGTACTTTAACAACTATAAAGATACAGACTTAGTTTCTATATACTTTTATAAACTAGTAAGGTTTTAACTATTCTATTGTCTTCCCTTTATATTCAAATTACTATTATCTCTACTATAGTACTAATATAATTTATATCTCTTAGATAGTTATATTTAATAATAGTATTAGAGATCTAGAGAGATAAGGGTCTCTATTAATTGTAATACAGAGATATAAAAACTCTTATCTTATTTCTCTAGAGTTATATATAGTAATTAGAATAGTCTATATACTATAGGTAAGAGTATTTTATTAGTCTATTACTTCTAAAAGGGAAGTACTATATTTAGCTTAATTAAAGTAATATTTCTAAATAAATTTATAACTAATAAGGTCTACCTCTATATAGATATTAATATCTATATATATTTCGATATTATTTTAAATATAGATTAGAATATAGAAGTAGGTAACTATTCCTACTTAAGACTAAGAGTTAGAACCTATAGAAACTAGTTTAACTTCTATCTAGACTGCGGCACTAACCGCAAAGACCGCGGTTAACCTAAAACCTAACCAAAACCGCAGCGGTTTTGGTCTTCATATCAAAACCGCAAAATTTTGCGGTTCGGTTTTGGTCTTCATCCCAAGACCGCAAAATTTTGCGGTTCGGTCTTGGTCTTCAAATGAAAACCGCTGCAGTTTTGCGGTTAACCGCGGTCTTGTAAACAATACAAACATACTAAGCCTCGTGACCTGCTGGGCAGATAGATTTTTATGCAGTTTTTTTGGTAATTTTGTTGTTTCGGTCATGTATGAGAGCTCTGACTAATTGTCAGGCGAAAAATCATCTCCAGGATATACGGAATACAGAGACTACAGAACAAAGAAACTGGATAGAAGACCAAATCAAGAAATATAATCTGACAGTATTTAAGCTACAAAGGCGCCAGTTGGAACCCCTCTGGCATTTTAGGCTTCTTGCGAATCCGCGTCGCTCGCTGTGTGCCTTCGTGTTCCATTTGATCCTCCTGCGAGCTAGTACTTCCGGAACGCGCTCGTTTTTGTGTCTCTCCTGATGGCTCCTGTCTATCTTCCTCCTCCTCCTCCTCCTCCTCCTTCTCTCCTTCCTCCTCTTCATTATCGCTAATTGGATCCAATGCTGGAAGAGGGGCTATTGATCCTCTGTCTTGTTCAATCATCGCTGCCTCACCCGCTAGTACAAGCTCTTTTGTAAAGTCAATCTCTCTCTGTTCAACCTCAAATTTTACAGCACACGATTGCAGCATCAACTCCTTGATAGTATCAGCGTTAAGGCAGCCCCGTCTGTAGTGACAAATATCTCGAGCACAGTTAAAAAGACGCTCAACACCTGCGCCACTTGCAGGAATTGAAAGAATATCCCGGGCTAGTGCAGCCAGCACTGGGAACTCTTTTTGATGCTCCCTCCAGAATAAACGGGGCTGTTGTGAAATAAGGCCTAGATAAAATTAGTATCTGAGATAGACAGATACGTAATTAGACTTACCTTTTGCAAGATATCGAGCCAGTTCATCATCCTCCTCCTCTGCTGGTACTTCTGCTGTATAAAATGAAGTCTGTGAGTCACATAGCATCTCAATCTCATTAATATCACTGGAGTTCTGCCGGACATCAGAGGATGATTCTTCAGCTTGATCCGAAAATCGCCGTTTGTATCGCCAGAACTCTTTTTCAAGACACCCACGATATCTTGCACCAAAATCAATATCCCCTTGCCAATCTCTTGAGGTAAAGAATCGAAGTTTCTTTGATGGGGCAAGAATGGTAGCAATACCATAAAGATCCCTATAAAACTCCTTATCAGTTGCTTGATAATACTCAGAAAGCTTTTCCCTTGCCGCCTGTAATGCCCTCAGTATTGATTTCTTCCATAGGAGTCTCTTTCGGCGAAGCTGGTTCTCGGAGTTCTCCAGGTGATTGAAAAGCTTATTGTAAACGCCAAAGATAAGATGGATTGTGGTGTCTTTTGTTTTCGAGAGAGCAGTTGTAAACTTAAAGAATGGCTCAGTGATACACAGTAAGTAGTCGATCTGACGCCATTCTTCTTTGTCAAGCTGAAAATGGAGATAGCCGTTTGCTGTACAGTATTCTTGAAAGCTCTTCTGTAGTCGTTTTGCTCGGCCGAGCATCAGAAATGTAGAATTCCATCGAGTCCGTACATCTTGAAGAGGAAGCAGTCGAGGCTCCTGGGACTGGATTACAAGAAATGCAGCTCGGCGCTGAGGACTTGCATTAATAAAGATAGCAAGATTTCGGATCTACAGATAACTATTATTAGCTGTTATTCTCTCTCTCTTTCTGCTGAATCATCACATACCTTGTTCAAAGTCTGGATAATCTCTCTCTTTGATTGCTGGGAACGCGCCTGGCGCTCACGGTCATCTGGCCATCCATCCTCTGCCTCATTATTGGATGGCATTGCTTTTATTTTTCCGAGAAGTTGATTCAGACTCAGTTGGATCACATGGGCCAGGCATGGAACACGGAATATACCATTACCAAGCCTGTCACTTCCAATGCCCTGACTTTTAAGCTCATCCTGAATACTGAGCATCATTGTATTGTTATTGGTAGCATTATCAGTTGTTACTGACAGAACCCGATCGGCAATTTTATACTTTTCGAGAATACCAATAACTACTGAGCTTAGGTTACTCCCAGTATGTGAGCCTTGTAAGGGTTCAAAGCCAAGTAGAGCCTCTCGATACTCCCAATCGTTATCCAGAAAATAACCAGTAATAGCCATAAAGCCCTGCTGGAAAGGTGATGTCCAGCAATCAAGTGATAGAGATAGTCTACTATCCTCTGGGAGCATATCTATTATACTCTGTTGTCCTTGTTGGATATTCGAGTGTAGTTGTCGGCTAATCGTCCGGGGCGAGGGTAGTTTGACCCGTGAGGGAGCAACAGCAATTAGATCAGCTAATTCCTGGAATTCTGGACGATCAAGGATACGGAATGGGAGCCGTGCGACGAGGATAAGAGATAGGACTTTCTGGGCAAGCGCTTCTTCAGAGAAAGTAGTTAAAGTTGCTCTTGAAGTTTGTGACTACAAATTATAAGTTATTAGCTAAAAGCAGTATCTTAAAGATAGTATATATACTTACCTGCTTCGCAAGTAACTTGCTAATCCTATGCTTTGGATGACAGGTATTCCCTTTCAGATGTGTGTTCATTGGTGATGTTCCTCCACGCTGAATATTTGGATGAGTAAGTGTAGTAAGGCAACGCTTACACATAACTTTAGGCTCTCCTGTCCGTTTATGAGCTACTTGCTCAAAGTGATCCCAGACTGAAGCTCTCTTTTTGTGGTCCCAATGAATGGTGGTCTCGATGTCTTTTCTTGTGCCATACTCTGTTTGAAGCCATCACTCAGTGAAATCCTTCCGAGTTTGGCCTGTTGCGGGGTCCATTTCTACAAGGATCCAAAATCGCTGAAGATGTGGCCCAGTACGTGTAAGGAATAAGGGCGCTCGCGGTAATTGCAGTTGTTGAGAGCAAATGGATGGTGTAATTGACTCGGTGGCAGTACGACAATATGTACTGAGTGATGGCAGGTCATCTGGTAGGAGAAAGTCAGTATCAGAATGCTGATCGGTGAAGACTGATGAAGTATAGGCCATCTTTGGCTATGGTCTTGAGAGCCAATATGTGTAAATGAGAGACAAACAACTTACAAGATTCGACGAGAGGACCACAAACACCAGACGCGACCGAGGACATTGATGTGTTGCAAAAGCAATTATAGAGTGGAGTCAAAGATATACTCTAATTGGATATTAGAGCTACTAATACGGTTATCCTGCGGTTAACCGCAAAGACCCCTCACAATAACCGCACTAAGATTACCGAAAACCGCAAAAACCGCAAGATAACCGCAAGATAACCGCAAGATAACCGTAAAATACCCCTGAAAACCGCAAAAACCACAGGAAAACCACAAGGTAACCGCAGCACGACCGCAATATAACCATTTATCACTGCAACTTTGCACTTTTAGGACATATTTTTTTAACACTTTTATATTGTAATACTAGATTAAAAATTATTAGAGATATGTAAAAAACTAGCTCTTTTATAACATATGTTCAAAATTCAGAATACTTAAAAATTAGTCAAGTTAGGCTTTTCATGTTCTACTGACCTGAAGATGCAGCATAATCTCTCTAAGTCAAATATATATTTCTGCGATACCTATACTCGATTACAAAAACTAATCACAACACACAGTAAATCTCGCCAACAATATCCAAAATCCAACTTTGAACTTGAATCTTTTGTAGACTAATATTTTATCTTTTAGAATACCGCTCTATTTCAAATTATTTCGAACAAAAAGTAAGAAAAATAAATGATTACAGTAGTAATAACGAAACCATATGTAAGAATGCATTATTTGAGCTTAGTTATCAGGTGTATAAAAACGGTGGGGTGGCTTAGATAGGTAAGATCTTCATCTTTTATGCTAGTGCGGTTAACCGCAAGGTAACCACATTGCGGTTTTGGTTAACCGTAAAATTTGCGGTTAGGTTTTGGTAAAGATCTAAGAACCGCAAACCGAATCGATTTGGGTTTGGTAAAGATATGAAAACCGCAGACCAAATCGATTTGGGTTTGGTTAGCATTTGAAGACCAAACCCAAAACCGTGCCGCAGTCTACTTCTATCCTTTTCCTAAGTACTTTAATTAAGTATTATTACAATAATACTAGAGTCTTAAGTAGGTTTTCTAGATCCTAGTTCCTAGGGTTTTTAGTAGTAAACAATATTTACTTATCTAATAATCTAGCTTACTATAGTTAAAATAAGGTTTAGAAAATATTTTATTAAAGGAACTGGATAGACTAGTCCTAGTAATAGAAGTATAATTAGAATTATCTTTATTCTATAGGGGAAATAGATAAGGTCTATTTCTAAAATAAAAGAGGTTCGGATTTAAATTAAAATTATTTTAATTTAGATTTAAATTAAAGTTATTTTAATTTAGATTTAAATTAAAGTTATTTTAATTTAGGTTTAAATTAAAATTATTTTAATTCAGATTTAAATTAAAGTTATTTTAATTTAGATTTAATCTAGAACTATAAAAGTTTCTTAAGTATTCCACACGACGGCAAGCGGGGGGGCCATAAACGGCCGCCATTCGCTTCTCCGCCCTGCCGCCCGTGACCGCCTGCCTGTACCCGTAGGGGCCCTGCCCTTTCCGGTATCGCGTCAGTTGTGGTCGCCCCATCCGGCTTAGCGCTGCAGTCGCCGCTTTTGCCGACCCTGCCATCTATAAAAGACCGCTCCTCCTCATCTGCGATTCTCCCACGCACCTTCACCTCTTCCTGCCCTCCCGACTTGGTTGAACCCCCCCTTTCTTCACGACCCACTAGTGCCAAACGCGTTGTATCTGGTTGCCTGATCTTTTTGTCTGATCGGAGATGTCGCCCAACCGGGAATCCAGCTCGTTTCCGGCAGCTTTCGCCATGGCTCAAATCCACGCTTCACGATCTCTGCGGGATGGATGAGAATTTCTCTATCGGTAGCTTTCTGCTTCGCTCTCCCTTGAGGCTACTATGGAGCCTTGGCTTCTACCAGAGCTGCATATCCAAGTCTCGCTTTTCCGGCTGCAGGCATCGATTTCGCGATATCTTCGCCCCTCCGGTGTACAATGGATTCTGAATATTGTCGGACATGCCGCCGGAAATTACACCGCTCTCGCCACCTCGAGGTTGCATTACACTGCCTCTCCCCACTGTCTATCGTGAATGCCGTGAGACCTGGTGGGCCTACAATTTCCGCCGCCCTTCGTCCGGCTAAAGTCCGCCGCCAAATATCTCATTTTCGCTAGACGTATTCACAGGAAATGATGGCAAAAAATGCCGCATCCGCATTCAGCAGTGAATTTCGGGATTGGAGGGCGGGGCGGTTGCCTTGATTCAGGCAAGGCTACGACAAAGCATGCGTTGGGAAACGCGAGCGGACATCGCGGACATCTGGCCGAAATGCTCAGGCTTCCGAGTGGTATGTGAGCTGGCCAACGAGATTTGGCGGATCAAATTCAAAGGCAAGACAATGACCTCTTGAGCTGGTGTATAAAAGCAGCGCAATGCCACCACTTTGGCACTCCAGCAACCCCAATCCCTTCTGCCCCAATCCCCATCCCCCTCTCACCCTACACCAGAGTAATTCTTTCCCCAGCCCCCCGATCCCCATTCCCAGATATCAGTGCAGTTTACTTTCCTTTGCTCTCGCTCTTGCTCCGTTTCAAACACCCTGTAACACCAACCACTTTGAATGAATGCTCATTTGTGCGTGATCTGACAATGTCAAACGAATCGTTTCGTTTGGAATCTTTCCCGCCTTGGGATCCCCACGAGAAACCGATCTCTCAACAAGGCCCTCTGGATCTCCGTCGCTATCCAAGTCCTGTCTCACTCAATGCCACGCCGTCTCCCAACAACTCAAAAAACTCGACAATCCATTCCCGGATCCCTTGCACCCCGCAGCCTGAGCGGCATCCCCTTCCGGTCCGCCCGCCACTTGAGGTTTGCGTCGATGGGGCTTCACAACCTGTCGACCAGAATCTCCAGAAGCCAGATTTGAGTAGCCAGATGTCACCTGTCAATCAAGAATCGGAAAACTTCGATTTTGAGGAAATCTTGCATTTAGAGAATCTACCAGGCCCGGAAGACACCGATAGTCTAATTTTTGATTCCGTCGATGAGCATATCGAACAGCAAACCCGCATTGGATCATGTGACTTCGACCCCTTCTTCACGCACGATCAGCTTTCTCGGTCTATAGCATTTCAAAAGTCAACCCCATTAGAGATGGAAGATTTCGCAAGTGATTTGACCATAGATCCGGCGATGTTGGAGGACCAGCATTATCGAGCTGAAGAACAACAGAACACCATAGAATCTGCTCCTACTTGCACAACCCGCCAGGCAGGCTTCACCGCGGACAATCATTCCTCGGATACAGATAATGGCATTTCTCGTGGCAAACGGTGTCACTCGCCGAAGGTGACCGATCCTGGTCGGCGGTCGTCCAAAATTCAGAAAGTTTCGGTCGTCATCCGCAATCGTCCAAAACAAAAGCACGGAAAATCGACTCGACGACCTGGTCATCAGGAAGCTTCATTGTCCACAATTCTTGCGCAGTTTTCTGCACTTAGAGCGGAGGATCGACTACAATTCTTGTCTTGGCTATTTGAGAGTGCGTTGTCTCGCTGTGTGCCTCGCCCAGAGGAAGTCAACACGAAATCAGGATCCACGCCAAGTAACAATTTGTCTTCATCCCGGACTCAAAATGCATCAGTTGACTCATGCTCATCGTGAAAACGCCCACGTTACTCTGCGGAGGAAGATTGCCTATTGGTACAGCTCAAAAAAGAGCAAGGCCTCCCATGGGAAGAAGTAATTCGGCATTTTGATGAAAAGTACCCTGGGAGGAGTCCGCAGTCTATCAAGGTGCATTGGAGTACAAAACTATCCAGGAAAAAGTCGTCTGGACTGTGACTTTGTGATTTAAGGCCTTTGGCATGAACATTCAAGCTGGGCTTATTTCTCAGTCGCTAGAGAAAAACTGACAAAGCCTCGCTTGGTGTCAAGCTTTTTGTGAAGCTGCATTTGCGGTATCACAATACATCGGTGAAATCACACATCAGTGAGATTACCCAAATTTGCCCTTGAATGATGTATGATAGCCTTCTGTTCGCGATAAGATTGACATTCCAGAAATAGCAAAGCCATGATTGATCTAGACCCTTCTTGAATGTGGATTCTGACGGCGAAGGTCGATTCAATACTACAGTCCGGTATGCCACTACAATTTGGTGGATTTGGTGGATTTTTGCATCCCAGTGAAAGAGAAGATCACAGAAACTGGGAGCAATTGTATGATTATATATGTATGATTGTAAATCATTTCTGTCCCTCATACTAAGATTGACAACAACCATATCAGTAAATATTATGATATTTAATCAATACGAAAGCATCATGTATAACTCATATATCCCAAGCGGATTCAGGGCCTACTCAGGGGGTGATTGGATCGTTGGCCAGGTTTCAGATGCTCAAGTCTCGAAGCCGCAAATCTCTGTCCCTCATAGTTTAATTTTTATCGTCCACATTTTTTTCTCATCGGGTTGGGGTCACCCCATCTCGACTTCAGCCTAGGCGAAATCTGAGTGGATCCAGACCTACATGACGGAATGTGTTCTATTCAATATCAGCATTCTCAATGATTGAGAGCAGTGCTAATATCAGCATTCTCAATGATTGAGAGCAGTGCTCGGAAGAGGAGATTTATTCCAGACCGATTTGTCAATATCGACATCATTGTGGTCAAGAAGCCGGCGTACGATCTCCATATGGCCCTTCTCGCAGGCCCAGAAAATCGGCGAGGCATTTCGAACATTCAGCGCAATATCTTGTCTCGTGAGAAGTACCTCCAGCAATCGTAGACTGCCACCTAATACAGCATAGGTGATGGGAGTCCAGCCACATCCGTCCCGAATATTCGGATCTAGGCTCTCAATTTCGAGGAGAACACACACGAGCAGAATATTGCCATTTTTTACAGCATGATGAAGGGCCGTTTGCCCACGTCGGCAGGACGCGTTGATGTCAGCCGACCCGTCACATAAAATTTGCAAGGCCGCGGACTGTTTATTCTCACGAAAAGCGATGCATAGAGATGTGGTTTCGTCTCCATCACGAGAATCGATTTCCATGCCGGGAAAAGCTAATAAAATCTTCACGATCGATTTGTGCCCACGCTCTGCGGCCAAATGTAGCGCTGTTGCTCCCCTTGTATCGGTAGCATTGATAGGTATCATGTTGTAATCGAGAAAAGTTTGCAAAATATCACTGCATCCTTTTATGGCTGCTTGATGAAGCAGATTCTGACCTTTTCGGTTCCTGATGTTAAGATTTGCCCCGTAGGAAATCAATATTCGGACCATTTCTATCGATCCTTTGCGCGTGGCAATAAATAGCGGATGCTCACGGCTGTTCAGGCCATCCAGGTTTGCCGCTGAAGGCTTCTTTTTGATATGGTCAAGCAACATGGTAAGAACGGCACTGCTCTGATTCAGGATAGCTATGTTGATAGGGTCGATTCCTTTGCAGTCGGCTGTAAGGGTATCAACCCCTCTATCCAGGAAGGCCTGAATCAATTCCTTATCTTGATGGGCGATAGCATACCAAATCACGTTGCGGCCCTTGTTATCCCGAGCAGTCACTTCTGTACCCGAGTACCCCAGAAGATCTCTGGCTACTGGTAAAAACTTTCTTTGAAGGGAGTACAGTAAGGGCGTTTGCTGATGATCATCTCTCCAATTGAGGTCTGCGCCGTTCCTGATCAAAAAACGAATCACGTGATGTCTTTCCGTTCGAATACCTGGGATGTAGAATAGCGGCGTCCGAAGTCTTCCATCCATCGTGTTTGGGTTTGCTCGATACTCTTCGAGTAGGGTTTTCGCGAGTTTCGACTGGTTGTGCTGGATGGCCCAGATCAGAGCAGAGCTATTCTGGCAGCGGACATTGAAAGTGTAGAGAAGCGGTAAGAATAGAAGACTTGATCGCCTATTCAATCTTGCCATTGACAGCAAATCCTGTGAACCATTTAAAAAGTCTGCCAGACAGAAAAGTAATTCTAGGGGAAGAAAAAGAAGCATCATCTTGTCTGATAAATCAGAATAACTCTTGGATCGGCGGAATATTTCACTTTGTCCGCTGGAGGCGGCTCAGGAATGAGCATATGGTGGAAATCTTATCGGCTTGTCGCAGCTGGGCTAGCAATTGCGACTCTGATTAAGTAGGGCAGTACGTGTGGTATTTATGTTATGTCGTTAGAAATTGCAATGGAGAAGAAGCATCTAGAACTCAGTCAATCCTGGGAGAAGGGGTAGCTCCTAGGAACTATGCGTGCATTTTTGGGAAATTTATAAGGAAAATGAGACGCAAGTGATGTTGACTTATAATGTAAGTTGCTAGTAAACTACCAATTTTTGACCCCGCTATTGAAATATAGTCTTGTTTACTTCATACTGGATTTTTACCTGGAAATATCCATGCTTATCTCAAAAAGTGGCGATTGTGATTCAAGAATTACCTCAATACTGATTCTTGTAGCCTAGGTCAAAGAAACAGAAGCCTCTTCAGCGCCGGTAATCGTCCAGTCACCATCTTCGATAAATAGCTCCAGCCAGAAAAAGGGCACAAAATGTTAGCCACATGGAGGCAGTGAAAGAGGGAGCAGAGCCATTGGATATATTTGTAGGCAAAGCCGGGCTAAGCGGTATGAATGTCCGTAGTCCAGGTGTGGTGGTGACTGTTAGCGGCACAGTCGCGAGCGGGAATGTTGGAAGGATCAATTTTAAAGGAATGTTTGTATTCTCCAGGGATTCGGTTTGCCCAGCGTGAGATCCTTCGTGAGAAGCATCTGTTCGTGCATGATGAGTATTCGGAAGTTGTTCACTCTGGGTATCTTTTTGTATCAAACTTCTCATATCTCTAATTTTCGTTCATTAGTGACGTTTCAAATTTGTTTCCACATGCAACTTACTCGTCTTGCGTTGGTTCTTGCGTCTTGGAGACTGACATGGTGTAGCAATATCGTAGCACAAATGGGAACTCAGGCGAGCGATAAATTTGTGTGAATCTATCAAATTAGGGAAATTTGTCCACGAAGAGGAGGACGGAGGATCTTGATGATACAGGAACTAGATATTTTTTATAACTCATTCAATTGAATTTGAAATTGAGTGTCTCTCAAAAAGAAGGAATTTCACCACATTCAATGTTCGATATTCAGTTTGAGGGTGTCATAAAGGTGCGGCAGCCTTTCCCTTAACTTTGATCCCCAATTTTCCTATTACCGTGCGTGACATGGTACCTGCAGTCTCATTATACTGAAATTTATTCCTGATCAAACTGGTCACACACGCGATTTGATCTGAAACGGGATGATTTTGGCCTTGACTGCGACGATGCTGTCTTGGGCTTTTGGCAAAAAAGTGCAAATCAATCTTAGAGGAATTGACATAGTTTGAGAAGATATTTCAACATATTCTCCTAGGAGGTTATGTATGTAGTTGAATGGAGTAAATGATTTAAATTTTTCCAAAAAATCAAAAAGAATATTAAACCAAATATTGATGATTTCTGGAAACCAAACACCAAGTCTAGTACCAAGCGCGGTAAACATCAAAGACAGTGGGTGATGTGGTTACTCTACAATCAAGAAACTTAAATCAATTTATGTATAGGTGGCTCTGAGAGATCAATTGATACGGATTCTAATTTCAAGAAAGACTGCTATCTATGTAACTCACTAACTACTGTTGCCTCACTCATTCTTTGATGTTCAAACGACTTAACAAAACGACGCGGTAGATCAAAGTGTAAAGCTACAATTCCTTCGCAATTAACTGACAGAAATGGAGGTATTCTTTGGCCTGTGGCTAGGGCCGTCTCCAGTGCTTCTCACGGTCTCCAGATAGACATCGTAAAGCGCTTCCAGCTCTACTTTCCGCTTCTCTTTCTCTAGATCGCTGAGCTTTTCCCATTCGTCACCCTTCATTTTCTGCTCCATGAATTCCTCTTTGGTTTTGATCGCACTTTTGTCAGACTGCAGATTGTCTGACTGCTGCCGGAAGCTGTTGAGAGTTTCGGCTTTGATTTTGGCAGTAACTCGGTCTTGCTTTTCCTCTTGATCTTGTCGGTATTGCTCTATCGTTATTTCAGGTGGGCAGGGAGTCGGCGAACGTCCATAGACGCTGCGTCCTTGAGAATCAAACTCCGGAGCAACTCCCCTCTGGTAATCTGCATACCGTTTCTTTTGATTTCTCCAGATCTCCTTCCTCTTTTCTTCTGTTGCCTTTGGACCGCCAAAAAAGCGGACAAGCTCGAATTTCGGCTCCCAAGAGCACCCCCTCACCAATTTCGCATCATCCCCAGACCTGATATTCTTCCATTTAACTTTCATCCAGGTAGACTTTCCTTTTCCGTCACTACAAACGATGCCGTAAATGCCCACAAAATTCTCCTTTGTGTATCGAGGGACATCTTTGCCTGAGGGACCTTTGTCTTTCATATGAGAAATTCGTGCTGTTTCGCTTGAAATGTAGACTTCCTCAGGATAGTCGCAGCCCTTTCTCCGTTCGAAGCGGTAAGAGGCGTATTTGAAAGGACCATCTTGGATGATGACAAAAGACGAGCCATTCAGGGTTCCCCATCCATCTATAACAACATTTTCATCGTACTCTTTGTCTCCGGTGCTCTTGCTTCCCTTCCCTTTCTTTTCTTTTGGGGTAAGAACTGCCAAGCAGCCATCTTCCAATTGGTCAGCAGTAGAGACCTCGTTCTGGAGAGCTTCGCTTTCGACAGATGAATACTGATGAGCGGGTGTTTTTTGGCGTTGCTCTTCTGCCTCAGGAGAAATCCCGTCTTCGATCGAGCGGGGATGAGTTTGATCTGCAGTCTTAGGTTCCAAGTACTGCATTTCGACATCTTCTGTTTCTTTTGGTTTCGATATAACAAAATGGGGTGGGTGATGGGGTGCGACTTCTTCTGGAGGATTGTTGTTGGATCGAGAAGACTGTTCACTGTTGATTGGCGCCTGGCCTGTGTGATCTTTTATCAGGGATTGTTCGAGGCCGGCGTTTAGTTTTTCACGAGAGATAGTTCCATCGTTCATTCCTTGTTCCAATTTTTCTAAACTTGCGCCTTTGTTCTTTTTCCCGTCTTTTGCTGGAAAAAATTTATGTATCCCGTTATTATTCTCTGCATCCTTAGGCTTTTTCTCCTTTTGCGGCGCCATCTTAGCTGATTGAATTGAATAATGGTAAATTCTAAAACGAAGATGGAATGAAAAGGAAAAACAAGGGCTATAAGTCAGACTATTTATCTTGTTCGCAGAATCTATTTATTCCAACTTGGGGGCATAATAACCCCTCAGATAAATTTTGAAGCTGCAGTTTGCTTTTAGATAACAGAAACATCACTCATCATTTGAATTCATTCCATTTGAAATTTGCGCATTTTACGAGAATCTACTGCTGTAAATAGTTGAGAATAGTTGACTGTTGACGGCGATATGACCCTAGTGTAATATCTGGGAAAGAATTCAAGAGCCATCAAGTTTTATTTTGCATCCAAGAGATGTTTTCAACATAGACATGCCCATTCAAGTCTTGTTTGACAAATCAAGTACTCAACAATGACATATAAGAACCGCACACTGGCAGCAAAATGTTTACCTGGTCCGGAAAATTTAGTGGTGCATATGTGATCCGGGTTTTTGACGGAAATGATCATCAAGATTTTGATCGTCTCCAGGTCTTAAATACTCATGGTCAATATCTTCTTGGCATAGGAAATGCCTTCCAACTTACATCGTTCTTGAGGATGTAAAAAGCTGGAATAATTTTTAGTTGAGAAAATGGAGAGGCTCTCAATTACCAAGCCACCATCCGACCACGTCATATGGGAGAAATTTATTGAAGCACATTTCAGATTTAAAGAATGGTCACTAAGTCATACAATTAAACGGATTCTCGTCATATTAGATGTAATATAACTGTTAATGATTGATTTTACTTTGTACAGGACGTATTGATTTATGAAATTGTATTATGAAATATTTCGATGGCGGAATCCCTTCTCAAGAGTTGAAATAGCCCTTTGGTATCATTTTAGTCACGAAAGTAAAAATCGCCAAGGAGAAAATTCATCGCACTTAATGCCTTTCCTGAGCGGGCTATTTGGGTACTGAAGGTCTCCGCAGAGTTGGATAGCATAACAACTATGAGATCTTATGGATATTGATTTTTAGTAATCCCGAACCCCTGCAGCAAGAACTTTCAAAAGCACCTTCGCACCAAAGGGTCTTCAAAAATTTGCCACATGACGTTTCGGTTAACGAAGATCGCTCCGCATGACAGTACAGACTAGATGATTATCTGTCCTTGAAGCACAAGCAATTACCTTTTGTGGGATTCTAGGAGTCAGGAATCGTAGAACAAATTGGGGGTACAAACTGATTTTTCTCCCAAGGTCTGTCTACGCTATGAGAAGGACCATATATGGCTTGATTACTTCATGTCTCGCACATGCTACAAGTTATAGAAGTATCTAGATCGGCACTTCGTTCGACCATCTTTGATTTTAGGTTATAGCAAATAATAATGGTCAATACCATTAGTTTTCGCATAAGCCATATCCTTGGTTGACCTGTGAGGTCTTGGAGATCAGTTGATAAGATTAATCCCGTTCGATCATACAGTTGACCGACGACATTCATCCAGGGCGTACGCCAGATCCTTCCATATACCACTTTCTCGGGCTAGAGGATTGACATGGGGGATCATCTTATCCGTCGGCTGACGAGGGTTTGTTGTATCGTAATCGTGGGATGTTTTGACAATTGGGGGCTTGGAGCGGTTTGTCTTTACGCATTAGCACTTCATGGGAAAGTCACTCTAATATATGGGAGTTTATTATCGCTCTTACCATGTTTTCTGCTGATGGTGGAGTGCTGTTTGGGTGAGAATGATACGTAACGATTTGACCGTCTGGGAGCTCCATCACCAGCCAGCTTTTGATCCCATACAGAAGCCAAAATTCATTGTGACGACGAAGCAGGTTGTTACGGCGTTTTCGTAGTTGCTCTTTCTTGACTCGAGTTAAAGCAGGGGCCATTTTTAGAGTATACCTGAAAAAGTATCAAAAGTCCAGATAACAATTATATATGTTTTCTGTACTAGTTCGACATCCGTCCTAGCACAATTCTGAGCTATAATCACAAAATAGGTTTTCAGAAGCAATAAACGGTTAAGAAGCCCTAATTATGTGCAAGCAGCTTTTCCAGAGCGGGCCAAAAACCGAGGATCAATGTTGAGTGCTCAAAATATTTCTGCGGCCGCAAAATTCAAAACATCTGTCACCTATTCTAACAAAATAGCCTCTGGAGATGGAATTTTGGAAATTTGGTTGCATCTTAACTTATAGAATGAAGTAAAGCCCGCGAAGCTTGCAAAAATATTTGACGCTTTTTCCTTCAGACTTCAGGAATTCATATTATAACTGTCCTTCAGGTCAGTATGTCTCTGAATGGGCCATCCAAAACTTCTCTGGAGTAGGTGAGCAATGGAAACTAGAACATGACAGAACGCTCACTGATTTTTACGTAGGAAACTCAAGTCTCCAGCTTGGATTCCCTGCAAGTCTCAGTTCGCTCCCCATGATGTCGCTACGACTCGCGCAATCTTGCTTCCAAACATACACAGCAAGGAGAAAACGACTCTGTCGGAACATTATCTCGTGATAACTGCTCCTAGTCCAGCTATTTCCGAGGTTTCTTCATCTGACTCTGAGCACACTTCTCAAGTTGACTTGGTGTCCAATTTGACGCAACCGAGATACTCTACGACCGCTACTTGTTCATATGAGAGTGAGGTACCCACCTCTACAGATGTACACGATTTCACGCATTCAACTCATAGCCTCAAGCATTATATACCCGAGACCAATAGGAGACATGTATTCTCATTGACTTCCCACAACAACCAGGAGCAACAAGCTTTGGATACTCTTGTAAAATCTACATTGGAATTTTGGTCGGAACCTGAGCCGGACTCGCTTTCTTTGCCAACGCCCATACTGTACAGTAAGATAACTGGGGATCCTGGAGGCGTAGTGTTTTGGGATAAAGAAAGCTTGAAAGGCAGCTTATCAGATACGCTACCTCATACAGCTGGGTTGGATGATGGAGTCTGGGGAAGCGTATCTACATCCAAACAGCATGGAGGCCACTCCGCTCAGTCTTCAACATCGATAGAAACAGCCACGCTAGGACAAACGAGCACGAAAGCCGGCACCTCTACATCTGCCATCATGACTTCAGCCCGATGGATGTACGATCCCACGTCCACTCGTATAAATTGGTCAATGCGAGTCTCCAAACAGGGTGTGGAACTGATTGTCATGAGCGTAGTTGGAGGAAGCTTGGCATTTGTAGGTATGGTGCTTCTACACCGTCTCGTCTCTCGCTTTGTCCGAAGGAAGAATGAGCGATCCAGACGCCTTTCTCCCGTCTCGCTGGCGAATAGCTTTTCTAGAGAGGAGTCTAGCACACATGTTTTAGATTTAGCGGAAGTTTCGCATTTCTCAATTGAATCTTAAACGCATATTGACTGATTTTATGTAAAAGTTCATGTAAAATATATGTATGGGCATGATGGGTATCTCGCAATAAGGGCCTTGTAGGATATGTCGATATAGCTTTTTGGAACACGAGTTGATGGCACCGGGAAAACGGATATACAGTGTCACAATTAAAAACAGCGTCCCCAGGAAATAAATCGTAATGCAATTGAAATACCGGTAATGTATGTACCGTTACTGAGAAAGATACCGACAACGTCGGGAAGTTGCCTATTCCGGCGAATTGAAGTGGTGAAATATGAACCGTTGAGATGTGAACGGTGAAAAGTAGATCATTTAAATCTGGATTATTATGAAGCACTAGTGAAATTCGGACTGGTAAAGAGTGACTGGTGAAGAGTGACTGGTGAAGAGTGACTGGTGAAGAGTGACTGGTGAAGAGTGACTGGTGAGGAGTGACCGGTGAAGCTGGTGAAGAAAAAACTGGTGAACAGAGACTGGTGAAGAGAAACTGGTGGAGAGTGACTGGCGAAGAGAGACTGGTGAAGAGGACTGGTGAAGAGTGACTGGTGAGGAGTGACTGGTGAAGCTGGTGAAGAAAAAACTGGTGAAGAGAGACTGGTGAAGAGAAACTGGTGAAAGTGACTGGTGACAAGTAAACTGGTGAACCGTTGAAACTTTAACTGTTGAGACCGAGGATCATGTTGGAATATCCCGGTTGCTGAGATAATGAGGCTGGGGTCACGTGAAGACGTGTATCTCCGTTACTTGGTCTACTTGTATCTAGACAACACATCCAACACAACACACAATCAACTCCCCTCAATAATATGACCATTGAAGCATCACTTACTAAACCAACAGATCAACTGGTGAAGTTTGAACTGGTGAAAAGTCAAATGGTGAGGAGTAAACGGGGAAGATTGAACGGTGAAATCGAACTGATGAAGCTAAGACATACAAATGTAGGCGAGTGAAGTCGACTGTTGAAAAGTAAACCGGTGAGTAGACCTGTACATGGCCCATGGGCCGGCCCATTTGGGTCGGCCCAATTGGGCCATTGGGTCAAAAACCCGGCCCATAGCCCATTAATGGGCCGGCCCAAAACGGCCCAATGGCCCAAAGATAGGGCTTTTTCTAGGGCTAACATGCGTTGCATAAAATATGAAGATTAAGCGAGATCTTGGCTGTAATGCTGTGGTTTCGATAATAAAGTGATTCTGTGATACAATAGTGATTTTTATATTGAATCAGATACAGTGAGAGCAGAGATATGAATGAAATTATAGATTATATTAAGTAGTATATCCCTGTAGCCGTATCGATGGTATCCGGGCCCTCCCTGAAGCACGCTGAGTATTAGATTGCTTAGGTAGTAGAGGCTCTTCTTCCGCAGAGCCTCCTGCCTCATCTGATGTATCCTCTTCAGCTTCATAATTATCTCTTTTTCGCTTTGTATGATGCTGTAGAGGAGTCTTCTCCTTCTCCTCCTCCTCCTCCTCCTCCCCCTCACTAATCTCTATAATCTCCTGTAGAATATGCTTTGTGGTATCCTCCTGTTGAATATCTATCTCGTACTCTGTTTTATATTCTCGTATAAAAGCAAGTTGCTCCTCCTCAATATCAAATCGATTAGCACACATGAGCAGCATAAGATCCTGAATAGTCGTTGCATGGAGAGAGCCGCGGCGATAATGACAGATATCGCGGGCAGAATTAAATAAGCGTTCTACACCTGCACCGGTAGCTGGGACAGAAAGCATATCTCGAGCAATTGCTGCAAGCACTGGGAACTGCTGCTCATGGTCCCTCCAGAAATCAAGTAGGGAAGTGAGTATAGTACCTATTGAATGAATAGTTAGAGAGGTATATATTAAAACTGCGTTTTGGGAGAATACTTACCCCCCTTCAGATACTGATGGAGCTCTGAGAGTGGTACTGCGGGTCGAGCTCTATAACTATTAAGCAATATTTCAATCTCTTGAATAGGCTGTAGGTAAGAAGGCCCTTCAGATTGTGAGCAAGTATCATAGAGTTGAACTTCATAGGCAAGAATTTGCTGCTCGAGTGCTGCTTTATATTCACCTACAAAGTCCTTATCTTGCCACTCAGGGGTCTGAAAGAACTCAAGCTTATACTACGGCGCTAAGATAGTTCTATTGGTATATATGTTGATAAGCCCTGGAGTATCGGTCGCTAAGTAATAGTCCTTAAGCTTATCTCTTACTTTTTCCAGTGCCTGAAGCATCTAACGTTTCCATAAGATCTTCTTATAGCACAACTGACGCTAGCGGCTTTCAAGATGCTCAAACAGACGATTATAGATACTGAAAACCATGTGAATTGTAATACCTTTGGTTTTTGAGAGAGCAGTGGTGTATTAATAGAATAGCTACGTAATGCAGATCAAATAATCAATCTACTGCCACTCATCTCTACTCAGCTAAAGATCAGTATAGTGATCTGCCACACAGTAGGTATTAAGATAGGACTAAAGTCGCTTTACCCGGCGGAGCATCAGAAATGTTGAATTCCAGCGTGTTCGTACATCTTGAATTGGAAACAGTTGAGAGCCTTCAGGCTGAAGGTTCCTAAAATTCGCACGGCGCTGAGGGCTTGCATTAATAAATACAGCAAGGTTTCGAATCTAGGTAAACCATAATAGAATTAGTAGAGATTCGGAGAATAGTGAGGGTATTAGATCATCAAACCTTACGAAGGGTGCTGGCTATACTGTACTCTTTTGCTATTTGACGTGCTTTCTGCATATACTCTTCTGACCAAATAGATTCAACATTCTCATTGACAGGGTTTGCTTTTATTTGACCAAGGAGCTACTTAAGGCTCAACTAAATAACGTGAGCAAGGCATGGTACTCTGATAACAATGGTATCAGAGCTCAGGCCTTGAGAGAGATGAGTTTCCTGGAGAGAAGAAACAAGGGTTAAGTTATTGGACGCATTATCAGTAGTAATAGCCAATACTCGCTCCTTAATCTCATACTCTCGAAGTAGTTTAAGAACCTCTTGACTGAGATTTACCCCAGTATACTCACCCTCAAGAGGTTTAAAATCAAGTAAAACCTCTCGGTATTCCCATTCTGAATCAATAAAATAGCCAGATACTGCCATAAAGGCTTGTTGAAAGGGCAAGGTCCAACAGTCCAGACTAATTGAAAGCTTTGCATGCTTTGGCAATTTCCGAAGTATCTCTTTCCGACGATCTTTTGCCTTTGTTTGAATCTGACGTTGTAATGTTACGCGAGAGGGCATATTGATAGGAGAGAGAGCTCGCTGAGCTAGTCGGATAAGCTTCAGAAATTCAGGGTGTTCGATCATTGTAAAGGGAAGGCGTAATATAGATATTGTTGTAATAAGTTGCTGTTTCCATCGGTTCTCGTTGAATGCTTCAGGGGCTATAGCTGCCTAATCAAGAGAGAGAAGCATTAGATGGTTTTCCGGCTGGAAAAGAAGGTCCTTACCTAATGCCGTAGTAGCCGCTGTAGATGAGACCCTTTCCCTTACGCTTGCCCTCTA